GCTAATATTTCTACGCCATCCACTTCATATGTGTATAATATGACGTCACAAGTAGTTTTTCCTCCAGAACCAACAACTACAGCAAATATGTCTACATCATCCACTTCATACGTATATAATATGACGTCAGAGATAACTGTTTCTCTAGAACCTACAAGCACAGATAATATTTCTACGTCATCTACTTCATATGTGTATAATATGACGTCACGAGTAGTTTTTCCTCCAGAACCAACGACTACAGCAAATATGTCTACGACACCCACTTCATATGTGTATAATATGACGTCACGGGTAGTTTTTCCTCCAGAACCAACAACTACAGCAAATATGTCTACGTCACCCACTTCATATGTGTATAATATGACGTCAGATGTAACTGTTCCTCTAGAACCAACAAGCACAGCTAATATTTCTACGCCATTCACTTCATATGAGTATAATATGACGTCAGATGTAATTGTTTCTCCAGAACCAACAAGCACAGCAAATATTTCTACGTCATCCTCTTCATATGTGTATAATGTGACGTCAGATGTAATTGTTCCTCCAGAACCAACAAGCACAGCTAATATTTCTACGCCATTCACTTCATATGTGTATAATATGACGTCACGAGTAGTTTTTCCTCCAGAACCAACAACTACAGCAAATATTTCTACGCCATTCACTTCATATGAGTATAATATGACGTCAGATGTAACTGTTCCTCTAGAACCAACAAGCACAGCTAATATTCCTACGCCACCCACTTCATATGTGTATAATATGACGTCACGAGTAGTTTTTCCTCCAGAACCAATAACTACAGCAAATATTTCTCCGTCATCCACTTCATATGTGTATAATATGACGTCAGATGTAATTGTTCCTCCAGAACCAACGAGCAAAGCAAATATTTTTACGTCATCCACTTCATACGTATATAATATGACGTCTATGGAATCTTCATACTCCTTGTCTACCAGTTTTTCCATTAATAACTATAGTTTCTCATCATTTTCTTCTCAAGATATGTCAACGTCCACATCAGTAACATCACGTCCAGCACAACCAAGCAGTGGCGAGATTTCGCTTCATGTTAGTTCTTATGCTTCAGATTCGTCATCGTTAATTCTGTCTCATCCTGGACCTACAACATCAAGTTCAGATAGCAGCAGTATTACCAATTCGTTTGACTCTATTATAGCGTCATCGTCTTCTACGTCGCTCGTACAACCAACAAGCTTTAGCACAAGTGTGAGGTCAGTTAGCACGAGTTTCTCTGGAAGTGTGAGTTCAGTTAGCACAAGTTTAAGTGAGATGTCTTCAAAACTCGTGTCTATGGAAGTGTCTAGTGTCATAGCTCCAAGTTCACTGTCTTCTGCTTTTACTACTATTGAATCAAAGGTGTCATCAAGTTCAGATAGCAGTAGTATTACCAGTTCGATTGACACTAGCATAGCGTCATCGTCTTCTACGTCACTTGTACAACCAACAAGCTCAAGTAGAAGTGTGCGGTCAGTTAGCACGAGTTTGAGTGAAATGTCTTCAAAACTTGTGTCTATGGAACAGTCTAGTGTC